TTCGTACGACCTCTAGTTCCCAAGATATTCGATGTTCAAATTGCGAGGTGAATATCTGCGCAGTTTTCGATGCCTTCGGCAGCCATCTTGGACATAACGTCATCGGACTTCTTTTGAACCCACAAACATTAAGTAATATTCCATCCTCATTCCATAGAGGTCTCATAAATTTCGTTTCAAGGTTACTTATTCAGGTTATCACGATCCTGCATGTCACTTTACATTCTCTCCACAAAGATGAACTAAAAAGCTCCGTACAACATTTTGATACGACCTCTACTTCCCGAGAAATCCGCCGAACAAATTGCGAGGTGGCACTCCCTAAGATTCCATCTCCGGCGGCCATCTTGAATACCGCTTCCCACCCCGCCAAGTTTGTCCCCGAATATCTCGGAAACCGCTGACTTTTCGAAATTCCCGCAAAGAGACATTTCGGTTAGTTTTTAGTCCTACAAATGTTTCTCAGGCTTTTCAGTCGCGAAGGGTCGCCCGAAATTCCATCTCCGGCGTTGCGTGCGCAGCGAACACCTCGGCAGTCGCCTGAGCTGAATACTAACCTAACCTTTTTTTCTTTCTCCCGCTTCCCTTTCTTTTTCTTCATAAGGCTCTTATTCGGGCTTCGGACGAATCGCGGAGTACAGTCCAAAGTCACAGCGCGAATTGGCTCGCCTTTGCAGTCGCGGCACTCTTTGTGCGAACCAGCCATTAATCACCCATCTCTTTTTACCGGCCACGGGCATTGCCGGTCAGCCCTTGGACCTCCAAGTATTAAATCCTCTTTAATGTCTCTCCGTGACGCGAAGAAGCAGGTGGTGTGATCCGTAAAAGACGCCGAATGTCAATCCATTTCCTCTTCCGGGATCGGATGGAACAGAAGTAGGGTTAAGTTCATATGAAAGTGTGAGATATGCATACTTCCTCCATCATCACGTAATAAAGTTTCAGATAGTTCGGTGCACCTAGTTTGGAGAATGATTTTATAAATATTTCGCCTTTTTCTTATGTATATATCACACTTTCATATCACGTGGGCGTTTATTATGTATTTTTGACGAGTGCGCTCACTTCTCGCACTTTCATCTCACGTGGGTTTAATCGCTATATGAATGGTCTCGCATTTTCACCATCAAAAACGTTCCGTAATACCGTGAGCTCCTCATTTTTCACATTTTCACTCAATTTGCTTTACGTAATAGACCCCCTTATTGTAACCTGGGCCTTTATTACGTATTTTTGACGAGTACGCTCACTTCTCGCACTTTCATCTCACGTGGGTTTATTCGCTGAATTACTTATTCGCTAAATGAATGGTCTCGCATTTTCACCACCAAAAACGTTCCGTAATACCGAGAGCTCCTCATTTTTCACATTTTCACTCAATTTGCTTTACGTAATAGACCTCTTTAAGGTGACGTGTTTCACTTCACCTTAACAACTAAATTGTACAGATGAAATGTCGCGGCATTACTTTTGCGGCACTCCAGGAATTTCTTCCCAGGAAAAGATGTTCTCTGGAAGGAAGTTCGAAGTGGTTTTCAGATTTTTCCGATCGTGATTAAGCCTGGTCGATCTTATAAGGTCCATCAGGACAAATCTTCGCCGCCATTTTTCCACCTTCAGAGTTTTTGCTTCCGCGGCTAACCTCCCCTCGGATCGGTCGGATTTCCTTTTTCTTGCATTTCTTTTTCCCTCCTTGTTCCTCCGACGTGGTAGCCACCTGGGTTCAGGTATTTCTCGGCGATCTGGAAATGGCCACTGGCCACTTTCCTTATATAGACATTAACTGTCGACGACCCAGGGATGCGTCGCATCGATCTCCCGGATGTGCCGCCATATTGGGATGCCAACTTTGTCTAGAACGCTTCCAGCCTGGGAACGGGCGATTCTTTTTTATTTTACATGGTTCTAGGGATAAATTATGAACCATGAAATAAGGGGATTAACCATGAACCTAGAAATAAAGGGATAAGCCATGAACCTAGAAATAAAGGGATAAGCCATGAACCTAAAAATATGGGGATTAACCATAAACCTGGAAATAAAGGGATAAACCATGAACCAAAAATAAGGGGATTAACCATGAGCGTAGAAATAAAGGGATAAACCATGAACCATGAAATAAGGGAATTAACCATGAACCTAGAAACAAAGGCATAAACCATGAACCTAGAAATAAAGGGATAAGCCATGAACCTAGAAATAAAGGGATAAACTATGAACCATGAAATAAGGAGATTAACCATGAACCTAGAAATAAAAGGATAAATCATGAACGTAGAAATAAAGGGATAAACTATGAATCATGAAATAAGGGGATTAACCATGAACGTAGAAATAAAGGGATAAACTATGAATCATGAAATAAGGGGATTAACATGAACGTAGAAATAAAGGGATAAACTATGAATCATGAAATAAGGGGATTAACCATAACCTAGAAACAAAGGGATAAACTATGAACCATGAACCTAGAAACAAAGGGATAAACCATAATAGAGCTTCTTTAGATGCTTTTCATTTACATTTTCCTTATTCTACTTTTTATTTCAGAGTCACGTGAGAATTATCATCGATATCCATTACCGCAACTCGGCTAATTATCTCGCAGTCTGCAATGTCATTAAATTGTCAGGTGCAGCGAGATACATTATCGCAGCTGCCAGTCAGTCAGAAAGAAAATTCAAGCAAATAAGATTCAGGACAAGGGAAGAAGTGGAAGAAGTTGAAAAGGAGAGAGAGAGAAGATTGACGTCGATTTAATGGCGGGTCAGGAGAGCGGGATTTAATGCCACGTCGGAATTAAACGAAAAGAAAAAATGGCCGCCCTCCGGCTTAGCGAAAGCGACGCCATTTTGTTTTTACGCATTTCATTGGTGGTTAGAAAAATCGTTCCTAATCCTGACTGGTACATTTATTACACACATTTAGTACATAGTAACAAAATGGCGTCGCTTTCGCAAAGCCGGAGGGCGGCCATTTTGTTTATACGCATTTCATTAGTGGTTAGAAAAATCGTTCCTAATCCTGACTGGTACATTTATTAGTTATTAAATTTAATTAAATATTAAAACATTTATTAGAGTTATTAAAATTGTATCACTGAGAAGGTATTTAGGTGATATGAAAGTGTGATATGGACATAACAAAAAGTGAAAATATTTATAAAACTTTTCTCCAAACTGGGTGCACCGAATTATCTTAAACTTTATCACGTGATTATGGAAGCCCTAAGAAAAAACGCGCTGCTCATTAAATTTCATAATTCGTAAAAAAAAAAATCTTGCATTAATCTCGGACAAGAACCAAAAAAAGATTTTTCTTCGAAAAATGAAATTTCACGGGCGGCGCCTCCATAATCACCTGATAAAGTTTTATATAATTCGGTGCACCCAGTTTGGAGAAAAGTGTTATAAATATTTAGATTTTTTCATATGTATATATATGTTACAGTGAAACACCGAAATCTGGAGAACGTCGACTTTCACCGGTGAATGTCAATCTTCACATAGTCGCTTCGAGTATGTCCGAAATATTTGCTAAATACCCTTATTTCTGACTTACACCGGTAAATGTCGACATTCACCGGTGTGTGATTGTCGACACACACCGGAGAGGGTCCGAACATACAACAATGTAATGAAATATTCGATCTTTCACCGACGTACTTGGTATCTGTTGACATTCACCGGTGAAAGTCGACATTCCCCAAAATTATATATATCACACTATCATATCACCTTAACTAAACCGTCCCCGGGAAGTCGTCGGTAGTTTCGCAAAGGGGTTTGTTGCTCCCCTTGGTGATTTACTCGGCCTCCTCCCCGCGGGAGTGTTTCGGACAGCTCGAAGGCGAGGCTGCGGCCATTCCGCGCGGCCTTGGCCGTGCGGAATTGCGATTCGATGGGCCGGAAGATAAATCCGAGCCGCGGACTCGCGCGTTGTCGCGGCGCGAGTTTCGCTCCCCTCCTGGTTCCGATTCCGCCCCCGCGTTTACACGGATGGATTTAATGGCTGCGCGCGCATGTGGAAGTAAAACGGCGCGGCATAATGGCCCCGACCTTCGAGGGGCCGAAGATACGAGGGCAGGAAAGGGAGCCGGCCATCTTTTCTTCTCCATTATTCCGTCTCGCTCCGGCGCGTCTCTCGAATCGACGAAATGTTGCAGAGAAGCGAGTAGCTTCATCGCAGGGATTTCTGTACATAACCTTAAATTGCAGACAGTGGGAGCCCAGGCACCGCTGAACGTGGAATATCCTTAATATTACATATGAAGCCTATAACTTTATTATCGTTGTACGACCTTAAGGTGAAGTGAAACACGTCGAGGAACTTGATCGACGTCGATAAAGAAGATTTTCATAAATGCCTACGTTCCCGACGTTGGTCTTTATATCGACAGCTGGGTCGAATTATATTGGGTATTGTAGCAAATGGCATACTCCACCTGTCGTTTTCGTACAATAATTATAAAGAAATCGAAGTAAAACTCCAGAAATCCTCTGGATTCATGCTTTCTGGGGCCCTAATTGACTGCAGAGGGACCCCCTGCGCCATCTGTGATTTCCAGGTCAATTAAATTTTCACTCCGAGACCTCGTATTCCCATCGTTTTAGCATAGAAGCGCATACAACACTTTTTTTGCCTTTATCCCGTTCAAATGCGAGTTTATCGATTACCAGAGTGTTCTAAATTGTCGTAAAATTGTCCTGACCCTTTCGATTCTCATATCAGAGCCTTCGATAATTGTATATTGATCGAAATATGAGAGCTCGACGCCATTTTGGTTCTGGTCTGGGCTGAGTTAAAAAATTTTTTTGAAAAATCCAAATTTTGAATGTGTCAGGACAATTCTTAGATGATCAGGAGTGATGTGTCAAAGTTTCGGACAGTTTGGTCTAATACCCTTAAAAAAAAGTGTTGTATTCGAATCGACTGATTTGAAGGATGTTTCACTTCACCTTAAACGCTCCATATAAACGCCTAAAAGACCGAAATATCAGTTTCAGAATGTTCCTGCTGGCGAGTATCGTGCTCTCGAGTCTGCTGTTTCGTGAGACCATCGCCGAGGAAGTGTCCGCCTTCCAAACCGTCCACAACAGCAACGCGGCCATCTTGAATCGCCTAGGCCTGACACCACTTCGTTTCCCAGACGGACACCACAAGAAGCGTCTAGCAGGTCCAGAGCCACCAGCAGACCACCAAAACAGGATCCACCAGCCATACAGCAGACGCCATGGCCACCGAGACAGCCACGTCTACATCGTGAAGCTCCCAGCAAGTCCGCCCTACTACACCCTAACAAAACCACACAAAAAGGAGGAGAAGACAAGAAACAACCTGGGCCTCCCGGTGGGATTCCACAGCAACGGGAAGCCTGGGAAGATCTACCACTGGAACCTGCCAGTGATGAAGAAGATGTCCGAGAAGAGGAGAGTCCTAGCCCAGGACCAGCTGAAGCAGCTGAGGAAGCGGCTCCAGGAGGAGAAGAAAGGACCCAAAGAGCCCAACCCCGCTGCAGCATCCCCAGGAAGAGTTAAGACACCCGTGGAGTCGAAAGGGTCCAGCAAATACGCGGTGGCGAATCTCCTGGACGCCGAATCCAGGACCAACAACAGGAGACTGACCCATCTGGAGGTTCCTGGCGAGAAGCGGCCCAAGAACACCACCAACAAGATGTTCAGGCTGGAGGATGACTCCGTTGTGTACAGGCTGGATGCTCGGAGGAAGGATAGACCTAGGTGGCCCCATCTAGGGAATGATCTTCATGGGTTTAGGAGTGACCTGGAGCCGGGCCAGAAGGCCAAGAAGCATAAGAAGAAGGCTGCCATGTCCTATTATGCTCCCATGGCCTCCAAGACCAGCACCACCAGCATTCAGAAGAACTTTGCTGGAAATGGGAAGCCTAAAGCCTTCTATGTCATGGAGAAGAGCCGGAAACCGGTGTATTATCATCCGTTGTTGCCGTAAGAGGTGTTGGGGACGTGATGACTAGGGATGTGGGGTTCAGAAGCTGTTTAGAACTTCAGAGGGAACAGGGAACGTATAATGTTGGTTAGGGAGATGGTTTTGAAGGTTCTGGGGGTGCTTTCAACGATTCGGGGGAGGAATTGATGTTTGCTGGTTGCAAGAGTTCGCGAAACCGATGGACAATCATCCGTTGTTGCCGTAAGAGGTGTTGGGGACGTGATGACTAGGGATGTGGGGTTCAGAAGCTGTTTGGAACTTCAGGGGGATCAGGGAACGTAAGATCTTGGTTTAGTTGATGGTTTTGAAGGTTCTGGGGGTGCTTTCAACGATTGGGGGGAAGAATTGATGTTTGCTGGTTGCAAGAGTACGCAAAACCAGTGGACTATCATCCGTTGTTGCCGTAAGAGGTGTTGGGGACGTGATGACTAGGGATGTGGGGTTCAGAAGCTGTTTGGAACTTCAGAGGGATCAGGAAACGTAAGATGTTGGTTAGGGAGATGGTTTTGAAGGTTCTGGGGGTGCTTTTAACGATTCAAGAGCGAAGATGATGTTTGCTGGTGTTTGCAAGAGTTTGAAGGTGTTTTCAAGAGTTTGCAGAGCTTTGCAAGAGTTTGCAGAGCTTTGCAAGAGTTTGCAGAGCTTTGCAAGAGTTTGCAGAGCTTTTCAAGAGTTTGCAGAGCTTTGCAAGTGTTTGCTGGTCCTAGGAAGAGTTCTATGGTCTTTACAAGAGTTTGCAAGAGTTTGCTGGGTTTTGCAAGAGTTTTATGGTCTTTACAAGAGTTTGCAAGAGTTTCCTGGTCTTTGCAGAGCTTTACAAGAATGGTCGTCAAATGTCGATTGGACCTTCTACCTTAGGATTCGATCAGTTGATTTTCTCTTGTTGGGAGGAGACGTGATGGGAAGACGGAATGCTTCTGCTGGATGACTCAACGATCATCTTCGCGCGTTTGGGTTTCCTCTACCTGACTCAGCTGAAGAATTTAGAAGAGTTGAGGAAGTTGAAGAACGCCTCCAACAGGTTCAGTCTCAGAAAGTCGATGATGATGACTATGGTTTTAGAAATTAGCGTTGAATTAAGGCATTAAGAAATGTTCATACTAAATCATTTAATGATGATCATAGCCCGTTTATGATTCATCCGGAAAATTTTGATGAATTAAGAAAATCGGGAAACAAAACCAACCATTAATCATCGAAAATCGATCATGATGATGACTATGGTTTTAGAAATTGGCGTTAAAAAATGTTCATATTGGATCATTCAATGATGATCTTGCGCGTTTATGATTTATCCAGAGAATTTGCATGAATTGAAAAAGTCACGAAACGACAATCATCGAAAGTCGATGATAATGACTATAGTTTTAGAAATTGGCATTAAGAAATGTTCATACTGGGTCATTTAATGATGATCTTTGCTCGTTTATGATTCATCCGGAGAATTTGGATGAATTGAAAAAGTCACGAAACGTCAATCATCGAATGTCGATGATGATGATGACTATGGTTTTAGCAATTGGCATTAAGGATTGTTCATACTGGATCATTCAATGATGATCTTTGCTCGTTTATGATTCATGCAAAAAATTTGGATGAATTGAAATTCTCAGGAAATGACAATCATCGAAAGTCGATGATGATGACTATGGTTAGCAATTGGCATTAAGAAATGTTCATACTGGATTATTCAATGATGATCTTTGCTCGTTTATGATTCATAACAAAAATTTGGATGAATTAAAAATGTCAGGAAACGACAATCATCGAAAGTCGATGATGATGACTATGGTTTTAGAAATCATCATTAAGAAATGTTCATACTGGATCATTCAATGATGATCATTAGGCGTTTATGATTCATCCAAAAAATGTTGATGAATTGAGAACATCGGGGAACAAAACCAACCATTAATCATCGAAAATCGATGATGATGTCTATGGGCTTAAAAATTGACATTAAAAAATGTTTATATTGGATCATTCAATGATGTTCTTTGCGCGTTTATCATTCCTCCGGAGAATCTGGATTAATTGAAAATGTCAGAAAACGACAATCATCGAAAATCGATGATGATGACTATAGTTTTAGCAATTGGCATTAAGAAATGTTCATATTGGATCATTCAATGATAATCTTTGCTCGTTTATGATTCATCAAAAAAATTTGGATGAATTAAAAGTGTCACGAAATGACAATCATCGAAAGTCGATGATGATGACTATGGTTTTAGAAATTAGCATTTAATTAAGACATTAACGAAATGTTCAGACTGAACCATTAAACGATGATCTTCGTTGATCTCCTCGAATCATTAAACAACACAGATCATCCCGTTCATCATGAGAAATGACTGATTGGAATCATTTGAAAGAACTGTTATCAATCGACATGAAAACGATTTTCACGCGAAAGGACTGATTAGAGTACTTTTCTTCGAAGCGCATTCCCTTTTGCTATACATATGTTTTATATAGACGCGAAACATATTTTATATACACATATAAATAAATATATATATATAAATATAAATGTACACAGGGCATGAGTATACACGTAACGCAGAATAATTAGATATATCTTTCCACATTCCTTTGTATTTTAAAAAATATTACATTATGTAATGATAACGAAATTTTATGACGATTATTTTATGCCGTGATAACGAGGCAAAGTATTAACAATTAAGTATTTATAGGTAAATGTCGAATGTAGATCCGTTTCTTTTTTATTAGCGACGTCTTTTCTTCATCTTAGATTCTCCGCCATTTTGTTTAAGCCTTGATTTTCGATTTAAGTGAAATTTTCAGTTATTTGCATTACTGATTAGTTATTAAAATACCGTAACAACAAAATCTGCAACGATCGGCCCCACTTCGAGAGATTGTTGCAGATTTTTAAGTTTATTCTGGATTTTTCTGTTAAATATTAATTATTATTATCTAGTTAAGTTTAGTTTTTATGTCTGTTAAGGACAAATTACTATAAAAAATGCAAAATCGATTGGCTATCCGAAAACGCTTTTTTAACAATGTACTTAGAAAATCGTAAGATTAATTAATTGTAAATGCGTAGAAGTATTATCACTCCATTATTAAGGTATTTATGGACAATTAAGGTGTTATCAAAGGATCATTCTATATACATACCAAAACCTCTAAATATTTGTAAAACTTTCCTATAAACTGCATCGAATAATGTTTAACTTTAACAATTTATTATGGAGGTCCTATTGAAGGTTTTAAAACTCGCGAAATTTCATTTCTCAAGAAAAAAAAATGTATTCATCCCGGACATGGACCAAAAAAGAAATTTTGTGATTTTTGAAACCTTCATTAGGACCTGCTTAATTACTCGTTAAAATTTAAAATTAATCGGCGCGTCCAATTTAAAGAAAAGTTGTTTTATAATCGTTTTGTTGACGTATTGCATATATGAAAATGTTAAAATATTTATAAAACATTAACGCGTAATTATCGACGCCCTAATGAAGGTTTTGAAACTCACAAAATTTCATTTTTCAAACAAAAATGTCCGACATAAATGCACAATTTTTCATTGAAAATTGAAATATCGTGATTTTCGAAACCTTCATTAGGACCTCTATAATTACTCGTTAAAACTTAAAATAATTCGGTGCGTCCAATTTAGAGAAAAGTTGTTTTATAAACATTTTGACGTATTGCATATATGATAATGTGAAAATATTTATAAAACATTAACGCGCAATTATTGAGGCCCTAATAAGGTTTTGAAACTCTCGAAATTTCATTTTTCATACAAGAATTTCCTTTTTTGGTTCTTGTCCGATATAAATAGCAAATTTTTCTTCGAAAATTGAAATTTTATGATTTTCGAAACCTTCATTAGGACCTCCATAATTACTCATTAAAATTTTAAATTATTCGATGCATCCAATTTAGAGAAAAGTTGTTTTATAAACATTTTGACGTATTGCATATATGAAAATGTTAAAATATTTATAAAACATTAACGCTCAATTCTTGTACGATATAAAAATCAAATTTTTCTTCGAAAATTGAAATTTTGTGATTTTCGAAACCTTCATTAGAACCTCCATAATTACTCAATAAAATTTTAAATTATTCGATGCATCCAATTTGGATAAAAGTTGTATTTGTTTATATATTTCGACGTTTCATATATATAGAATGATCCTTTCATAAAGCCTTAACGATGTTAACGTAATTTTTTATCGTCTTATTATCGTTTTCCCGAGTTTTTCTTTAAGCATTCCAAGTCATCCTACGAAAATCAAACAATTATTTTAACTAACAATTGCGAATTAAGGCTGAAATTGTATTAGAGTACTTTATAAATAATACAGGCGAAGTACGGTTAATGGAAAGAATGTTTTTAAACATACGAGACGTATAAGATAAGCGATAGAAGCCATTTTCAATTTTTTAAGGAACCCCCAATAAGTCGATGAAAAATAAAATATTAATAATTGTTTACAAATTCAGGAAATATTTTTAAAGAACAATGAACGAACCATTTTAATAATGCAAACGAAAAATTCGTAAAATAATGTTTGTCGACAATTATAAAGAGAGTTCAGTTGATGGGAATTATTTCTTCTCATTTTTTACATGGACTGTAATTTTTCATTTATTGTTATTAATAATTTAGGGTGACATTGGGGATTCCTTAAAACCGAAGTGCAATTTTTTTCATGAAATCTGAGTGACTGTTTTACTCGTTTCGGATGTCTCTGTAAATGTTTAAATTTCGGCTTTGTCCGAATAAAAAACTTTTATAAACATTTTCCTAAGCGGAGATAACTTTTTTATATATACATATACATATTGTATCGTGATTTTTTGTACACAGATCGCAGAAAAGTGAATAAATACATAGTTCGATAGAAGTGGAGTTAACAATTGTATTCCGTATAAACTTCTGGATTAACAATGGCGTCAATAATTTATCCTATTTTTCTTTATTTACTTGCAAACGACAAAACTTTTATAAAGACATAAACAATCTTAAAAGCAGAATGTGCGATTTTTATTTTAAATATTTTTAAAACATTTATTACGTATTCGGCAGATAATTTATAAAAAAACACTTACATCAAAATGAAACAAAACTTTTTTTTATATTTATAAGAAAAATATGACGAAAACACGTGGAGTTAATATTACAAAAATAATATTCTAAAGTAAATGTTTTGCAAATATTTCAAGTATCTAGTAAATATTAAAAAATGTGTGATATTCGTTAAATATATAGAAAATATAAGACAAATATTTTGGGCTGATAGGAGTAGTTTATTTATTTTTAGGTTAGAATTTCATTCAGATAATATTTAAAAAACATATTAAAATGAAACGAAACTTTTATTATATTTATAAGAAAAATATGACGAAAACACGTGGAGTTAATATTACAAAAATAATATTCTAAAGTAAATGTTTTGCAAATATTTCAAGTATCTAGTAAATATTAAAAAATGTGTGATATTCGTTAAATATATAAAAAATGTAAGACAAATATTTTATGCTA